ACTGAGTAAGTGTTCATGATCCTGTCGGGGTATTCTTCTCTGATCTTGGAAATTAATAGAGTTCCCATTCCAGAGCCGGTTCCACCTCCAAGCGAATGTGTCAATTGGAATCCTTGTAAACAGTCGCAGGATTCTGCCTCTTTTCGCACAACATCCAGCACTGAGTCTACTAATTCGGCTCCTTCGGTGTAATGGCCCTTAGCCCAATTGTTTCCTGCTCCAGATTGTCCAAACACAAAGTTGTCTGGCCTAAACAGTTGTCCATAAGGTCCGGACCGAACTGAATCCATAGTTCCCGGCTCCAAGTCGACCAGGATAGCCCGGGGCACATACTTTCCACCGGATGCTTCGTTGTAATACACTTCTATTCTTTCTAGCTGGAGGTCGGAGTCTCCGTGGTAGGCTCCAGTGGGGTCAATACCGTGCTCATCGGAGATGATTTCCCAAAACTAAAAAAAACACAGCAAAACTTTAAATCTGCATTTATCCACATTACGTTTAAATCAGGTGTAGTGGAAATGTCGGATTGTTTAAATGAAGTGTTTCGGATAGGAAAAGCTAGGCTGTGATGATCACTTTTCGAAGCTCTGAGGTCCAAGAACACCGACACTCAATTAAGAGCAAAGTTTCATTCGTCGATAACACTTTACGCAAAAAAATGACCACACCTTTACAGAAAAACACGTTGTTAGGATGATTGACCGAATTAATCGCTAACAAACTTTCAAAAGCTTTATTGGTCGGTTCGTAACAAGGGCCCGCAAGCTAATTAAATGAACCTATTAACCTTGGTGAACTACCCACATTTATATGGCTTTGTTCTTGGGCACTTTATTCCTACTTGCATGGCATCAGTCTCTGAAGGGTTCGTTCGTTTTATTCTATTAAAGAGCTTCCATATCAATTACGATGGGTTAAGGGGAATTGGACCTTGTCAATAGAGAGTTATTGGTCGGCCAATACGTTCATGCAGTATTATAGTTTGCGCTATTTTGACACAATCGCCTGCGCAAATCAGTCTAAAAAATAAGTACTGCAAAATTAAAGTACTGTTCTGCAGTATTTGTGCCCCGATACTTTTATTTTCTACGTTAAGCTGGCAGTTGACATTTCTGACGTCCGCTTGCTTGTTATTTTATTATAAACATAACCGAGTTTCACCCATTTCCAATTGACTACTTGTTTACATATGTAAACATTACGTTTAACTACGTATTAAATCTTGGATTACTTATACAATTGGTTCAAAATGCCACATTTTTGCAGTGTCGTTTAATGCTCAATGCGTGCTGAACGAGATACGGTTTCTTTTTTCCGATTT